TACTAAGAGTCCATTTTTAGATTATTATGTGCAGTACTTTTTACGAAATCGCTACGAATAGTCCGTTTTTAGATTATTATGTGCAGTACATTTTACGTGATCGCTATGGAAAGTCCATTTTTAGATTATTATGTGCAGTACTTTTTACGAGATCGCTACGAATAGTCCATTTTTAGATTCTTATGTGCAGTACTTTTTACGAGATCGCTACTAAGAGTCCATTTATAGATTATTATGTGCAGTACTTTTTACGAGATCGCTACGAATAATCCATTTTTAGATTATTATGTGCAGTAATTTTTACGAGATCGTTACGAAGAGTCCATTTTTAGATTATTATGAGCAGTACTTTTTACGATTTCGCTACCAGGTGTCCATTTTTAGGTTATTATGTGCAGTACTTTTTACCTGATCGCTATGTAGAGTCCATTTTTAGATTATTATGTGCAGTACTTTTTCGAGATCGCTACGAAGAGTCCATTTTTATATTATTATGTGCAGTACTTTTTACGTGATCGCTATGAAGAGTCCATTTTTAGATTATTATGTGCAGTACTTTTTACGAGATCGCTACGAATAGTCCATATTTAGATTATTATGTGCAGTACGTTTTACGTGATCGCTATGAAGAGTTCATTTTTAGATTATTATGTGCAGTACTTTTTACGATATCGCTACTAAGAATCCATTTTTAGATTATTTTGTGCCGTACTTTTTACGAGATCGCTACGAATAGTCCATTTTTAGATTATTATGTGCAGTACTTTTTACGTGATCGCTATGAAGAGTCCATTTTTAGATTATTATGTGCAGTACTTTTAACGTGATCGCTACTAAGACTTCAATTATAGATTATTACGTGCAGTACTTTTTACGAGATCGCTACGAATAGTCCATTTTTAGATTATTATGTGCAGTACTTTTTACGAGATCGCTACGAAGAGTCCATTTACAGATTATTATGTGCAGTACTTTTTACGTGATTGCTACGAAGAGTCCATTTTTAGATTATTATGTCCCGTAATTTTTACGAGATTCCTACTAATAGTCCATTTTTAGATTATTATATGCAGTACTTTTTACAAGATCCCTATGAAGAGTCCATTTTTAGATTATTATGTGCAGTACTTTTTACGAGATTGCTCTGAAGAGTCAATTTTTAGATTATTATATGCAGTACTTTTTACGAGATCGCTTCGAAGGGTCCATTTATAGATTATTATGTGCAGTACTTTTTACGAGATTGCTACTAAAAGTCCATTTTTAGATTATTATGTGCAGTACTTTTTACGAGATCTCTACTAAGAGTCCATTTATAGATTATTATGTGTAGTACTTTTTACGATATCGCAACTAAGAATCCATTTTTAGATTATTATGTGCAGTACTTTTTATGAGATCGCTACGAAGGGTCCATTTTTAGATTATTATATGCAGTACTTTTTATAATATCGCTACTAAGAGTCCATTTTTAGATTATTATGTGCAGTACTTTTTACGTGATCGCTACGAAGAATCCATTTTTAGATTATTATGTGCAGTACTTTTTACAAGATCGCTATGTAGATCCATTTTTATATTATTATGTGCAGTACTTTTTACGAGATCGCTACGAATATTCCATTTTTAGATTATTATGTGCAGTACTTTTTACGAGATCGCTACTAAGAGTCCATTTTTAGATTATTATATGCAGTACTTTTTATGCGATCGCTATGAAGAGTTCATTTTTAGATTATTTTATGCAGTACTTTTTACGAGATCGCTACTAAGAGTTCATTTTAATTTATTATGTTCAGTAATTTTTACGAGATCGCTATGTAGAGTCCATTTTTAGATTATTATGTGCAGTACTTTTTACGTGATCGCGACGAATAATCAATTTTTAGATTATTATGTGCAGTTCTTTTTACGTGATCTCTCTGAACAGTACTTTTTATTAAATTACTATTAGCAGTACTTTTTATGATGTCCCTCTTAGCAGTACTTTTTACGGCATCGCAACGAATGATTTATTAGATCACGATGTGCTGTACTTTTTATGAAATCGCTATAAGTAATTTATAAATGTTGATGTGTGCAGCACCATGTGAGATAAAAATCATCCTAATGAACTTCATTACTTAATTCTACTAGTTCTAACCTCTACATTGTAGAAAACAAACCTCATTGTCTTTGTATTCAATTGGTCAGATGTAAATTCCTCTTTAGCAGCTTCTTCCCACAAACGGGTGCTTTATGAAACCGATTCCTCAGTTAGCTGGTTCCCTGATCACTTTAATCTTCAAGTCTAGGGTTAACCGTTATCCACCCCGCATATACTCATAAACTCTACCTCTTAATTTGTTGTATACTACCTTGAACCGTCTTAGGTCTGACAATAAACTACATCCGCGTCCTGGATAAGACGATAAACTACATCCAACAGCAAGGCCTCTGATCAGGTTTTGAGGACCGTAGAACCACCTCTTAATAGCTGGTGTTCCCAGGTCCAGCCTGACCGTGGTGGTAGCACCTGTTTGGTCCCATCCATGGATAAATAGTTATCCCCTAAACTAGTGTCAAAATACTATGAACGTGTAAAAATAATTTTTGATATCAGAAATACTTTTTTGTAAAAATTTATTACCGGAAATGCATAATTACAACAATTCATTTGTGAAAAAAATATTACCAGCAATACATTTTTGGAAAAAGAATTATTACCAGCAATACATTTTTGGGGAAAAAAATATTACCAGCAATACATTTTTGGAAAAAAATATTACCAGCAATAAAAAAAAATGTCGGCATTATATAATCCATTGAAGATGATATGCCGTAAAACAAAACAAATCAAACCAAACTACCTTGAGTGGCTCTTCGACCTTGTACAGGGTGAACATTATTGTAAAAACTGCAGTGGCAGCACACATTATGAGGTCAATTTGGGCTGCATTTTGAATGCGATCACTGTCAGCACGTAACGTTTAGGTGATTGCTATATCATATATAGCTGTGAATGCTGGACAATCTCCTCATGAATGTAGAAAATAAATGAGGCAACCTAAAGAATACCATTAACTGAACATATGAGCTTATTAGAAAGAGTCAGTTGAAATTCCTAAGGCACCTAGTGAGGAAAGTGTGCTTAGGGTATTTGACACTCAGAGGGTATATCGAAGCCGAGAGAGACAGAGAGATAGCAGTGCTAACGAGCTTGGGCTAATGGTTAACAGAACAAGGATTAGGAGTGATAGCGAAATGACAAAATTTACTAAGAACTACAAAGGATAGGAAATTGTGGAGAGCCATGATCGCAATCGTCCTGAAGAGGCACAGCACATAGAAAAAGAATGAGCAATATTTTTTGTAAGGTCGCAGTGAGCGGTAGCATTGATAATGTCGCTGTGAACCAGCATATTCTGAAATGAACATGAGTGATACTTTTACGAGATCTTTGTCAGTTGTAAAAACATACTGCTTGTAACGATTTAAAAAATACTGCTCGTAACAACCTCAACAATATGTACTGTTCACAGCGATCTCAAAAGAAACGTGTTGCTCATTTCTTTTTCATAAAGTTTGAGCAACCTAAATTTAATTTTCTTATGAGCATTACTAATTTCTTTTACAGAAATGTATTAATAATTCTAATTTTTCCGTACAGAAATATATTACTGATACTGTTTTTCCTTACAGAAATGTATTACTGATACTGTTTTTCCTTACAGACATGTATTACTGATATTGTTTTTTCCTTACAGAAATGTATTACTGATACTATTTTTCCTTACAGGAATGTATTAATGATACTGTTTTTTCCTTACAGAAATGTATTACTGATAATGTTTTTTCCTTACAGAAATGTATTACTGATAATGTTTTTTCCTTACAGAAATGTATTACTGATATTGTTTTTTCCTTACAGAAATGTATTACTGATACTGTTTTTCCTTACAGGAATGTATTAATGATACTGTTTTTTCCTTACAGAAATGTATTACTGATAGTGTTTTTTCCTTACAGAAATGTATTACTGATAATGTTTTTTCCTTACAGAAATGTATTACTGATATTGTTTTTACCTACAAAAATGTATTACTGGTAATTTTTATTTCTTTATTTATTGTTACAATACTTTATACTTTCATCCTGTTTTGATCCCAGTTTGGCGCTTATCTATTTGTTCATAGGTGGGAGCCTAACAGGTGCTACCACCCCAGGTAAGAGTGAACCTGGCTACAACAGCAATTAAGAGGTGCTTCGACGCTCCTCAAAACCTCCAATCTCCAATTATTGCTGCCGAATGTAGTTTATCATCCTACCCAGGACGGTGTTTACTTTGTACACACTGTTTGCATTACATACATTTTGTGCAGTAATATATAAGCACTTGTAGATGACCTGAAGATTTTGTTCAAACATGAAACAGACTATCGACACTGGTTGCGACCTAAATGTCTACTCTCATATATATATATATATATACATATACACACACGTATATATATATATATATATATATATATATATATATATATATATAACGATCTGTTTCTGCCTGTCCCCCCTTCTTCCTCCCAATATATATATATATATATATATATATATATATAATCGATTTCTCCCAAGTAAGGTAGTAAAGCCACTAAGACACAAGGGTTTACTGCATGTGGAAGAATTAGGAAGAGAAATATTACGAATGAGGAGGGAAAGAAAAAAGGATAGTAGATAGCCATTGACATTGCATTTAAATTTTTAGAGATTAGTGTTTTTATATATATATATATATATATATATGTGTGTGTGTGTGTGTGTGTGTGTGTGTGTGTGTGTGTGTGTGTGTGTGTGTGTGTGTATGTGTGTGTGTGTGTGTGTAGTTTAGAATTTGCTATATTTATAAGTAAATGTGTTCGGTATCGAAGATAGAGCGTTTCGAAATATGCACAAACTAGACATTGAAATTTATACAACATGGTGATGGCTTCTTAATGCGTGAATAGATGGTTCACTACGCTATGTTGATTTCTATTCCTACGTGTCCTCTCTCTCTCTTTATCTACAGTCTCTCATTAATTCTCTCTCTCTCTCTCTCTCTCTCTCTCTCTCTTTATACATTTGTGTATATGGTAAGCCATCTTTCTTTTAAACATCCTTCATTAAATACAGCAGAACACAAATATAAAATTCAAAACACGAAGAAAACTAACAGCACCAAAAACACCCCCCTCCTTGAAAATGGTTAAAGAAGTGGCCGAAAGCGCTTGGGACAACGAAAGTTATGGAAAATTTCTGTACTCCCTTACTGCTACAAAACTAAATAAAAAATTAATTAAATGAAATACATACATACACACACACACACTCACACACTCACACACACACACACTCACACACACACACACACACATATATATATATATATATGTGTGTGTGTGTGTGTGTGTGTGTGTGTGTGTGTGTGGTGATGGGGCGACGGTTTAATCCGCAGTAAAATAGAAATTGTTTTAGATGCGTGGATGATGAGATTGATTTACGGACAGTGTTTTGCAGGTACCCAACCAAAAATTCTGATCGATGTATTGTATTTAATCCCATCAGATCAACTGCAGGTGTCCCGTCAGCTGCTGGATTGGACTAAGTAAGAATTGGTCGGCCTCTCTGCGTTCAATTCATTTATCTAGATTTGAGAAGGACAAACCTTACAATGGCCACATTCACCTGAAGCCATTCAACTCTTTCTGCTGGTCTGTCAATCTGTCTACTTGTTTTCCTTTTCTCCCAGACAGATTTATGGGGCATGGATTTGGGCACTTTTACCGACCTAGTGTTGCATCGACCGGGCAAAGGAAATGCATATTCACTGCTCTTGTCTTTCCCTTTTTTTCATTAAATATTTTACTCTGTTTCCCGTCTGCTTGCTTTTAATATCCTTTATACAAGCGAATAGATTGGCGTCTGTTTGGCGAGATTAGACAAACGAGGAGCCATCTATTAAAAAGACCACCCGTATTAAGTGAATTGGCAATAATACTGCATTCAACCTGCTATGTCGTATGTCTTTTTTGTTCTCGTTTTTAATGGTCACTCTATACCCCCCCTAAAAAAGTAATGTAATTTTTTTTTTTCAAAAAAACTTCTCTTCGTTATCTTTTTTATGGCATTATTAAACGGAAAAATGTTTTCCATTAAACGTTATCAATTTTCTCGTGTTAAAAAATAAAGAACGAAAGAAAAAGAAAAAGACGATGGCAATCAAAATATTTAATTGAACAAAGATTTTAACAATAGACACCGAACAAAAGTAGCCTATTTTCTTTTTTTCCCTTCACTTTCTTTCCTTTAATTCCTCCCTTATACCATCTCGTTCCTCTCTTTCCTCCTCCTCCTTTCTTCTTCTGCCTTCTTCTCATCGTCCCCCACTTCCTCCTCCACCTTGTTTTTTTCTCTTCTACTCCTCCTCTGCCTTCTTCTTCTTCTCCTCCTACTCCTCCGTCTTCTCCTCATCCGCCATCTTCTTCTTCTTCTTCTTCTTCTTCTTCTTCTTCTTCTTCTTCTTCTTCTTCTTCTTCTTCTCACAGCCTTCACTTTCCTCCTCTGCTTTCTTCTTCTCCTTCTCCTTCTCCTTCTCCACCGCTTTCTTTGTAATCTGTCGCCTTCTCCTCCTCTCCCGTCTTCTTCTCCACATCCTTCTCCCCCTCTTCCTTCTCTTTTTACTCTTTCTTCTTCTCCTCCTCCTCCTCCACCTTCTTGTTCTTCTCCTCTTCATCTCCTTCACTTTCTTCATCGCCCCCTCTCTCTCCCTCTGCCTTCTTCTTCTTCTTCTTCTTCTTCTTCTTCTTCTTCTTCTTCTTCTTCTTCTTCTCACCTCCTGCACTTTCTTATTCGTCTTCTCTTCTTGCCTCTTTTCCTCCTCCTTTCGTTTCTCTTCTTTTATTCTTTCCTTGTTTTTCATTATCCGCTACCTTATATTATTCATCCTCTTTTCTCTTCCTTCTAACGCTATATTTGGCTCTTTTTATTTAATTTCTGTTTATTCTGTTTTTCTCTCATCTCTTTTTATCGAATCTTTTCCTTTGAGCATTTTCTTTCCCTTCTAGATATCTCATTCAATCTTTTTTCTTTCTCCTCCCATTCAATTGTTCCTCTGTAAACACCATCTGTTTCATATTTACATTGAGACAACACTGCCATCACTAAAGCAGTTAGTTCTGATATCCTACCAGGCATATTTTTTTTAATTATTACAAGTTTGTTTTTCGCTTATGCTCGTCTACAGAAAACAAATAATTGGTTCTTGTTTGTTTTTCAAACTTTAAGCACGCATGCGTGAAGGAAAAAAACAGCAGCGGTGAAGTTGCAAGAAGCCGGCGCCATTATAGTTTTTTTTTCTGTGCGATTCAGGTGAATGATAACAAGAATGGGATCCAATATCGGTGACTTGCATCTAAGCAAAGCAGTCAGTCGTTCTTGCATGACAATCAAGACGTTGATTTTTTTTTTAATTTTTTGACTGGACATAAAATGGGACATCAGGGGGAAAAGAGCGAGAGAGGAGGTCGGTCTTCGAACTGGACTTCGCTCTGAAAGATAAGGGTGGTGCAGGATTTCTTCTCTGATGTGTATAATATAAAAAGAACCCACCAACTCAAATTAATATCTCACGTGTCTGTCAAATTCTTGACAACTAAACCAAGTACCCTTATTTGAGATTCAACGTGGATTGAAATATTATGCATGTGAATACTTAACGGAAAGTTTTAATTTCATCAAGTACAAATAACATAATAATACCGTATCTACCTATCTCTCTTTCTCTCTAGGATATATATATATATATATATATATATATATATATATATAGGGGAAAGGAGGATATAATTGTTCCACTGAGAGAAAAATGTATATTTTAAAAAGTGATGAACCGTTTTAGTTATAATGTGGATTTTTTTTAGTGTATATATTATATTTTATTCTTCATATATATATATATATATATATATATATATATATATATATATATATATATTATTTATTCGAAAATTATAACATGAATATGTTATAAAATCCACTACTAAAAATAGCCATTTTGTTTCCAACACTTCTGGTTTCTTATCAAGCGATGGTGTTGAATGTAGAATAAAAGAGTTTTAAAAGGTTCAAACCTTTTAAAAACCCTTTATTTTACTTGATAAGACACCAGAAGTGTTGAAACAAAATGGCTATTTTTGTAGTGATTTTATAACATATTTTGGGGTAATTTTCGAATAAATAATTATATTTGCTCTACTCTGTATTAAGCACTCTTTTAAGAATAGTATTTTTTTTGCTATTGGTATTTATTCCGTATACTCCAATCCTATACTTATATATATATATATATATATATATATATATATATATATATATATATATATATATATATATATATATATGGGGCAGAGAGAGACCACAAGAGAGAAACCTCAAAAATGTATACATATTTCTGGAATGGAAAAACTTGAATAGATATTTGCATAGTAAATTTATTCAGTTATCACGAGATTAATACAACTTTGAACACAGCAATCACAAGAGATGCTCAAAATGGTGGAGTTTAGCTTTCAAATGTTTGTTAGTACAGCAAACTAGTGCTTTGTCAACATTGGCCAAAGTGTCCAGTGGGATTGCAGCACATGGATTTTCAAGTTCTTGTCAAAAGGCCGCCAATGTACTCAGTTTTCTGCGATACAAAATATCCTTTAGGGTCCCCATTGGTAAAAGTCTAAAAACGACGAAAGACATGTTTTTCCTTGTAAGAAATGTGTATACATTTTCTGGTGGATTCTGTATATATATATATATATATATATATATATATATATGTGTGTGTGTGTGTGTGTGGGTGTGGGTGTGTGTGTGTGTGTGTGTGTGTGCAAAATTTTAGATAGAGTATATCTGTAAAAAGGACAAAATGCAATCTTATCTGAGCTGACGCGTTTCGTCCTTTGAGAGATTTTATCAAGTCCCTCAGTAGAAAACGCGTAGATTTTCTTTTTGTCTTTTATATATATATATATATATATATATATATATATATATATATATATATATATATATATATATATATACTGACAACGTCTGTCTATCAATTTTTTTATTAAGGTTTTCAATTTTCCAAATGTCCTATGTTATCGGTAAATTTCACAAAGGTAGTAGAAGATTGTCGTCAATTTTATTTATTGAAATTTGGAGATATTTGATCTTATCCTTGGATGTTTTGCTCTCTCTTTCTATGAGAGAACGTCGAAAATTTGTTCTGTTAGTGTCCTTGTACGGTGCAGGACCATATAATTGAAATAAGATGTATTTTGGCATATATATATATATATATATATCAAATATGCGGTGCAGTTCAATTTATATTACAATGAATCATTCATACAAAAAGTAGATTAATAAAGTTAATGATATAAAATGGCGAAAACTCTTCGCAAACAAAATTTTAAAGTTGAATTAACCTACGAACCACTCGATGAATGTTATGATCCTTGTTTTTAATAACTACAAGCTGCATAAGGTCTTTTTTTAATCTGCTAGTACTTTCAACTGTACATACAGTCATCCTCAGGCATGGAAATTATTCTGTTTTTAGTAAATCCAGGTAGCATCAGAGACGAAAGATTAAATGCGAATTGAAATATGTTTTTTTTAGAAATGTGATATTGTTAACAGATAAAAACTTAATAAAATAAGCCTTAGCGTTGCAACCGCACGCTCCAAAAGTTTTTATCCGTTAACAATATACAATATATAATATACATCAGTTTCATATGCTCTCGTAAAGAAAGCAAATTTTTGGAATGTATTTTCTCGAATATTCAGTCACATCTATGAGTAAAAACCATATCTAAATATTTAGCAAAAATCCTTGGCAAAATTTCTAATTTTCGTAAGATTATGGGCGACTATACAACAGTATTCTACAATTCCAACTATTAGGTTGGTGCAAAATAATGACGTAATAATGTCGTTTTTTGAGGTTAAAAAATACGTCACAAAACGACATTATTAAGTCATTATTTTTGCACCAACCTAATACAAAAAAATGATTGAAAATTTGGGACGTTTTTCACGTCATGAGGCTACAAACTACCATAAATTAAATTGGTTTTACTTACTGTGCAACTCCTGATCATAGATGACAGAAGTACCCCATTGTCAGCCTGATCTGTTTCTTTGCAAAGGTAGAGGATAAAAGAAGGAGTCAGGTACATATAGGGCAGCTCCTGATCATAGCTAGCAGCCGTAATCCATTTACGGTCTGGTCTCTCTTTAAAAGGTAGATGATTACAGGGGGTAGTTACTGGGCAGCTTTTAATCATAAAGAGCAGGAGTACACCGTTTTCGGTCTGATCTGTCTCTGGCAATAGTAGAGAGTAAAAGGCGGATTCAGGCACTTACTGGGAAGCTCCTCGACTTATATGGCAGTACTACTCCATTTACGGCCTGATCAGTCTGTTGCAAAGATAGAGAATAGTAGGAGGAGAGAGGTACTTACTGGACATCTCCACCTCCTAGGTGGTACACCATTTTCGGCCTGCCCTGTCTCTTGCAAAGTTATGGAATAGCGGGGTGGGGAATCAAGTACTTCCTGAGCAGTTCCTGATCATAGATTCGAGCAATACTCGTTTTTGGCCTGATCTATCTATTAAAATGTTAGAAGATAGCAGGAGGATTTAATTACTTACTTGGCAACTTCTGATCATAGATGGTTACTGGACACCATTTTCGGCATAATCTGCCTCTTGCAATGATAAAGAATAGCGGGAGGTGTCAGGGACTTACTGGACAGCTCCTGATCATAGGTATCAGCAGTACACCTTTTTTTGTTTTTTTTTGCTGGATCTCTCTTGCAAAGTTATGGGATAGGAGGAGGATTCAACTACTTACAGGGTGTCTCCTGATAATAGTTGGCAGCAGTACTCCATTTTCGTCCTAGTCTGTCTCTTCCAAGGGTAGAGGGTAGAAGAAGGAGACAGGTACTTCTTGATTAGCACCTAATCATACATGAAAGTCGTACTTCATTTTCAGCACGATCTGTCTCTTGCAAAGGTTGCGCATAACAGGAAGGGAACCTACTGGACAGCTCCTGATCATAGTAAGCCGCAGTAAATCATTTCAGGCCTGATCTGTCTCTAGAGCATAGTAGGAGGAGACAAGTACTTACTGGGTAGCTCCTGTTAATAGTTGGCAGCAGTACTCCATTTTTGGCCTGATCTATCTCTTGCAAAGGTAAGGAATATCAGGAAGAATCAAGTACTGGCTGGGCATCTTCTGATCATAAATGGCAACGGTATCCAATTTTAGGCCTGATCTGCCTTTTACAAACACAAAGGATAGCAGAAGGAGTAAAATACTTACTTGGCAGTTTCTGATCATAAATGCCAATAGTACTCCATTTTTGACGTGATCTGGTGCTTGCAAAGTTAGCGGATAACGGGATGAGTCAGGGCAGCTCCTATCATATATATAGGAGCAATGCTCAATTTTCTGTCTGATCCGTCTCCTAAATTGATAGAGGATAGCAAGAAGTGTCGTGTAATTATTGGGAAGCCCCTTAACATAGCAGTAATCCACTTTCATCCAGATCTGTCTCTTGCAAAGTTAGTGGAAAGCAGGCGGTATTAAGTACTTGCTTGGCACTTTCTGATCATAGATGGCAAGAGTACTGTATTTTCGGCCTGATCTGTCATTTCCAAAGGTAGAGGATAGCAGGAGTCACCTACTTCTTGAGCATGCCACTAGTACTTAATTTCAGACGTGAACTGTCCCTTGAAAAGGTAGAAGATAACGGAAGGAGTCAGGTACCTACTGGAAAGCTCCTGATAATAGATGTCAGCAGTATTCCATTTTCGGTATGCTCTCTTTTTCTCTCCCTTACAATAGTAGAGGATATCAGGAAAAATCGGGACTTAATGCGAAGCTCTGAATCATAGAAGATGCCAACTGATCTGCTCTTTCAAAGTTAAAGGATAACGGGAGGAGTAAGGTACATACAAGGAAGCTCTTGAGCATAGATTCCAGCAGTAAACGCATATACATCGTTATCTGTCTCTTG